GAGGGGTCTGGGACGGGGGGAGCCGGCCCCGGGGGGAGGGAGGGAGGGACGGGAAGGTGGCCAGGCAGGCAGGAGCAGCTCCTCCCTCAGTCAGAACTGATCGTATCAGTAATCTGTAGCATAGGGTTTTTTAGAAAATAACACAGGCAAATAGTGCAAACTCGTGTAGTTATTTAGAGAAGAGAGGGGAGTTATCAGAGTTGTTGCACTCAAGAGTTTTAAATTATTTTAGGGGCTCCCTAGAGTGTCGTGACAGGCACTTCTCATCGCTTCTGCAAGTTGAGTGAATAACGTGATGGAAGGCTGGGGAGGGACTTTTTGTAAGCAATAGGATAAAGGGTAAGTTTCAAACTGAGAAAGAGTACATTTAGATTGGATGTTAAGGAAAAATTCTTTACGGTGAGGGAGGTGAGATACTGGAACAGGTTCCCTGGAAGTGTTCAAGGCCAGCTTTGATGGGGCTTTCTGAGCAACCTGGTCTAGTGGAAGGTTGGAACTAAATGATCTGTAGGGTCCCTTCCAACCCAAATCGTTCTATGATTCTACAGGTAAGTTCACAACTGGTGGCTTTTCAATACCCGTTGCGTTTCTTTGCTATTTTTATATTGCCAACTGAAATAGCAGATAACAGTTTCAATGTGGCAACGGAATACTCTGTTTACAGAAAATAACATCTATTTTAACAGATGGCAGAGCATTCTTATTTCTGCGCATGTGTATACTTAAGCACAAGTGTGAATTAATAAAGCCCTGACAACATTTTGGTGGCTATTTGAAAGCTATCTTCCCACAATAAACAAGAATCATAGACCAGGAAAGTCATCAGCTTTACATTTCTGCACAAACAGATGGTTGGGAAAGGACCTCTTGATGTTACCCAGCCCAGCCTCCCTGCTGAAATTAAGTCACGTCTGTTGCTGTTTTGTCACAACAGCTCTTTAAACCATCCAATATAAAAATGGCATAGTTTGTCCAGGTTAACTACCTTCCAACTAAGTTATTTGTTTCATAATGTCCTCTTTAGACCTCCTGAGCCTCTTCTGTCTGTGGTTTCCTGTTGTGTTGCCTGCCACTATTAAGGATAGTTTAGCCCTGTCATATTTGTATGTCATTGTTCTAGTAGTTGTAGGTTGCTGTTATATGGCCCCTTATGTTCTTAAACAGGGAAGAGAGGCCCAGGCTCCCTCAACCACTCCCTTGGGGTGGTGAGATTTAGACTTTGAGGATGGGCTCTCCACCAGAGAGGCTTATTCTGCCTCAGGTGCAGGGCTGAGCATTTCTCCTTGTACGTGTTTTTCCATGTTGAATGTGTCAAGGCTTTTGTCATCCCAGTCCTTAGGCTTCACAAAGTCCCTCAGAACTCAAGCTCTACTGTTTAGTGTGTCAACCACCCCCCTTAACTTAAGTGTTACCTTAAAGATGGTGAGGGTGCATCCTGTCCCATCCTCCAGGTTTTTGATTAAGACAGTAAGTGGTATGGGCCCTAGTGTCAACCTCTGGAGTACTCAACTAATTATGGGCCTTCCAGCACATTGCAAGCCAATTGCCACCCACTAAGCCCATCAGCCTAGGCAGTTTTCAGTGCATCTAACTGCCAGCTTGTTCATGCCATATTTCCACAGTTTGTGAGCAAAATTGCTGTGGGAAATTATATCAAAAGCTGTATGGAAGCCAGATCTATTGTGTCCACTGCTCCCTCCTTGTCTTTGTAGCCAGCTGTTTCCTCATAGAATGCAATCAGGCTGGCCAAGTCTTATTTGTCCTTCATAAATCCATGCCAGCTGTTCTTGATTGCCTTCTTGTCCTTTACAGGTCTCTTGCTAACAGAGCTTAATCAGCTTTCTGTATCTTGCAGCCTCTGTGGCTGAAAAATGAACTTTGGTTTTCTGAACAGTTGTCAATACCTTCTGAACTCATACGATCATAAAAATAACAGAGTAATTTAATAATTTGCATTTTAAGTAAGATGCTGTATCTGATTTGGGAATGCTATTTTTAAAGCTAGCAGGTAACAACAGATGCTTTGTCTTTTAACCCTTCCTGAATGTTTTTATTTGATGTACATGTTTAGTATTCATATCCCTTTATGTCCTGTAATCTATTTGCATTTGCAGATTCTTTAACAATCCTTGAATATGGACAAGTCTTGTACAGCACAGGTGAGGAGGCATGATTTTCAGTTTTATTGTGTAACATTTTTGCCACTGTTGTTCTTAAGCTGTGTTTCTAGAACAAACTCTACTACGACATGAATGAGGCTGGGCTTACAGTTAGTTTAGAGAACACTATTAAAAGCAGCATACCCACATTTAACATAAGGACATGGAGCTCCTGGGGTGAGTTCAGAAGAGGGTCACAGAGATTATCTGAGGGCTGGAGCACCTCTCCTATGAAGACAGGGTGAGAGAGTTGGGGTTGTTCAGCCTGTAGAAGACAAGGCTCCAGGGAGACCTTATAGCAGTCTTTCAGTACCTGAAGGAGCTACAGGAAAGCTGGGGAGGGGCTTTTTACAAGGGCTTGTAGCAAGAGGACAAGGAAGAGGGGAGATGTGGGTTAGACATTAGGAAGACACCCTCTTTAGTGTCAGGGTAGAACAGATTGCCCAGGGAGGTTGTGGAAGCCCCATCCGTGGAAGTGTTAAAGGCCAGGTTGGATGGGGCTCTGAGTAACTTGATCTAGTGGGAGGTGTCCCTGCCCATGCAGGTGGGTGGATCTAGATGATCTTTAAGGCCTGTTCCAGCCCAAACCATTCCATGATTCCATTCTATGATTCTATTACTTTATAATGCACTTCAGATCTCTGCTCCATTTGAACTCTTTGGAGCTGTGAATGCTCTGGAGACCTGTGGTTTCCCATGGTGTTAAGAAGAACAGAAAGCATCTGGGTATGAGGATGGCAATGATGTAATTTAGTACCCTGGTTGACAACAATTTATCAGGCATCAGCTATAAATAATGTCTTGGTTTATCTTTTTCACCACAGAACTTCTTTAAAAGTGTACACTGACATATGTACCATTTGTGTAGGATAAAATGTACATAAGATATACTTGTACATAATAAAAATAATTATTTTATATTTATTTATTTTTATATTTCTGCAATTTTTGCAATATTGGGAATATGTAATCTTTGAATTATGTAATTTAATGTATCTTTGTAGTATTTATGTATTATTTTTGTAATATTTATATTAATGAAATTATTCTGCATGCAATTTGCAATATGTATGCAAAAAAAATTTCCTTATTTATAATAGTACACTATGCAGTCTTTCTGGGACAGTACTAGAGGTACAATTTATGCCTTTTCCAAGTACTTAGCAAATGCATCATATGTTGTACAGAGTCTCTGTTGACTGAAGGACTAAAATATACTACACATTTTAGCTCTGTTAAAATCTGATGTGATTTTATTCTTGACTAAGTAGCCTGAAAACAAATAAATTTGGGAGGCCCAGCTCCTTGCAGTTTTAAGCATCTTTATTATTTAATTCAGAAATGTTACCAAGGATTTGCAAAGTCTCCCAACAGGCCGTTAAGATAGTGTTAAAGCTTAAGTCTCGACCTTTCATCAGACTCAAATAGCTTACCCCCCCCCCCCTTTTGCCAGGACAGATGGCAATTCCAAAGGAGAAATGCTGAATTAGTGGGTTTGTGACAGCTAAGTAATTAATTTTTGGTAGCTGAAGATGGCGCTCTCTGCCCACAGATTTCTGCTTCGACTGCATTTGCTGCTACCCAATGCGAATGTGAAGTTATATTTCAATTTCTTTAAGAAAATAGCGCTGGGGAACAGGGGATGTGCTACACGCTTGGCACAGTGATATGAAAATCGTCTCCACAAGTGCCAGTGGTTAGGGACACACTCATTAATTACTCATAAGGAGGTTCTTTAGCAGCTGGTGATGTAACAGCAATAATAACACTTGGGACTTAAAAAATTCGTAAGTGTCCTGCCAATATGGGCACTGCAAACCTTGTGTTTGTAGAGTATCTTCAGGAAAAGTAATTAAGAGATTGTATTCATGTGTTGCAGTCTGAGAGGAGAGGAAAAAAGAGGAAAAAAAAAAAAAAAAAGTTGTGTAGTCCACTGGATATACCAAAATAATTGGGTATCACAGACCAAACAGGCAGGAACAACATTTCTGAGGTCCTGCTTGAAGAGACACTGTAAATGGTCATTTTTAGCACTCCAAACTGTGTTGTATATTTACCTAAAGCAATCTCAGCAACAGTGTAGAAGTAGCCACTGAAAAATCTGTTGCAAGAATCCTCAGTAATGGTACAGAAAAGAGCAAAGCACTGGAGTGACAGGTAGGTGTGTGCCATGTGGCTCTCTCCCCTCTGCCCACACGTCACAGGTGCCTGTCCTTGTGCCCAGGGAGCCCTGTGCTGCCCTGCACAGGCTGTCAAAGCAGGAGAGAGATGCACCACACACTGATACCTGTGCAAAGGGCTGGGCCTCTTCTGCTGAGAGTCACTCTGCAGCTCAAGCCAGTACAGTCATCAGAAATAGGTTAACACTGATAGTGTTAACTGTGGGCTTG